TGGTGGTTGGTAGGACATGGGAGCAAGCTGAAGAAGCACATGGCTTGAATGTGGGCAGAACCATCAAGGAGAGATTAGTTAGCAAAAGCACCTGGACAGATAGAAGAAAATATATGGAGATATTTTTTGAAAGACAAAAAAATGTGAGGATCGGGAACCAGCAGTTAGCGTAATGGCTATGTCGCTGGACTCCCACGTAGTCGACCGTGGTTCGTGTCCCGGACCCGGTGGCTTAAAACTCACGCCGGGCGCGTGTGTGTGCGTGCCCAAGATCCTGAGAGGAGAATGGAGGAGAAGGGATTGAAGCGTGACCATCCCCCCTGGGGGGTGATTTCTCGCTTTCTGTCTCTATGTCTCTCTCTGTCTGTCTGGCGAGTGCACGCGCCCTACAATGAAAATCTCTCCCTCCCCCCCAAAAAAATGTGAGGATAGAAAGCTGGGATCCCATATATCAAACATCGAGGACTGCTAAGAAAATGTATGACCAACTTGGAGAAGTCCATTTTCTGACTGTAATTCCCAGGAAAGAAAAGGATTAAATAGTGAAGAAGAAAACCATTTCTTTCCTTGGTTTGGCTTGTCTGGTCAAGCAAGGTATATATACATATATGAAAACGCCTTCTTCTGTGCCCAAGAGATCAGGTGTGTGTCTTTTTTAAAGGCCATTTTGCTACTTGGAGTTAGGCGATGTGGGCCTAAAGGACAATGTGTTCAGCTGTGGTAACAGGTGCTGGTTAGTGCTGCTGCTCAGGAGGCTGAGGCCAGATGGAAGGCTTGGGTTTGATTTCAGGGCCCATCCTAGAAAGTCAGGCATGGGAACCAGCAGTTAGCGTAATGGCTATGTTGCTGGACTCTCACGTAGTCGACCGTGGTTCGCGTCCCGGACCCGGTGGCTTAAAACTCATGCTGGGTGCGTGTGCGTGCGTGCCCAAGATCCTGAGAGGAGAGTGGAGGAGAAGGGATTGCAGCGTGACCATCCCCCCTGGGGGGTGATTTCTCGCTTTCTGTCTCTGTGTCTCTCTCTGTCTGTCTGGTGAGCGCACACGCCCTATAGCAAAAACCTCTTCCAAAAAAAAAAAAAGAAAGAAAGAAAGTCAGGCATAATGGCATGCCTGTCGTCCCTGCTGCTCGTGAGACTGAAGCAGGAGGATAATGAGCTCATGACCAGCATGGGCAACACAGTGAGACCCTGTCTGAAAAGAGCAGGGCATGAAGGGCACACCTGTGGTCCAGCTACTTGGGAGGCTGAGGCAAGAGGATTGTAACACAGTGAGATCCTGCCTGAGAAAGAAAAAGAGAGATAATATTAATAGAGGCCTTTCTAGTACTTTGTATAATCCAAATGAGGAACTTGAAAATGTATTTACAAGAAGCAGAAAAAACTTCAGTCAAAAAAAATTTTTTAAATACCAAATTTTTGAATCAGATGGCCTTATTAGAGTCTGTGAAGCCATGTCTGTCTACATCGCATCTCCTTTTTGACCTAATTCTGGGAATAGTACACCGTATGACTTGTTATTAATATTATCTTATTCTAAGCCAGAAGAGGTAATTCTGCATTTTCAGAATTGCATTTGAGTCATTTGTGAAATTGCATATTACAATTTGCCACCATTCCTAACAGTTCTTTAACATTTTCTTCTTCAGCTGGTTGTTCACATTTTTGCCAGGGATCTCTGGGGGCTAGTTGCTCTTCTAGCTCGAGAGATAATTGCTTCAATCAGAGTTGGGGGGTAAGGGCAGGAATGTATATTCATGTCTTTGGTTTAAATGGATAGAAAATCAGAAACTCAAGGTATGCAAGAGGTTTGTGTGGAATTGAAATACCTTCAGGAACAGTAGACAGGACAAACAGTTATTTACCTGTTTGTTTATAAAAATCGAAGACTAAGAAGGAGACCCATGGGAGTGATTTATAAAGAGCTCGCTTCAGATGCTCGTTGCGCAGGTGGTTCAACTGCAGATCAGAGTTACCTTGTCCATGGTCTGGGTGCCCAGGTACTGGGTTAGATCTATCTTGCTGGGTAAGTCCTTCAACATATTTTTTTTTTTTTTTTTTAGAATTATTTATTGGGACTAGCAATTGGCATAATGGCTATGGCACTGGACTCCCATGTAGTCGACCACGGTTCTAGTCCCAGACCTGGTGGCTTAAACTCACACTGGTTTTGTGTGCGTGCATGCCCAAGATCCCAAGAGGAGAATGGAGGAGAAGGGATTGTGGCATGGCCATCCCCTCTAGGAGGTGATTTCTCGCTTTCTGTCTCTCCGTCTCTCTCTTTCTGGTGAGTGCACTCGTCCCATAGCAAAAAAACTCTCAAAAATTATTTATTTATTTAATTTATTTTTATTATAATTATTGTTTTCAAATTTGCTGTGCTCACCAGAGAGAGAAAGGGAGACAGCAAGTTGCCGGGTATGGGACTCAAACTGCACGTTCATGTGGGAGTCTAGTGCCCTAATCACCATACCACCTTTTGGCCCCAGTCCTTAGTCAGTTTACTGAGGGTGCCAGTCAAACCCAAGCCAGTAAAGGATAAGTTACATAAATATACTCACAGGTAGTCATGCCTAGAAAAGAACTTGGCAGAACTACATCGAACATCAGGCTGTACATGAAGACATGCCTGTTTGTGCAACAAATAAGAAAAGCATCACAGTAACAGTAGTGAGGTAGATAAAATTGAGTTGGAACTTTCATTCAGCCTCATGCATGTGGGTGACCTTACAAAAGAAATCTCTCTGAGACTCAGTTTTCTCATCTTCAAGACAGGGACAGTCTCAGGGAATTTATGAGGATTATATGAAAATGAAATGAACCAAACAATACAAGGCTGCCTGCTGTGGTGCCTGGCCCAAAGATGCTCAGTAAATTTTGTTGTTGTTGTTCGAGGGGCAGAGAGAGAGAGAGAGAACCCCAGCAGGGCATTGTCATGTGGCAATCCCTTCTCTTCCATTTCTCTATCCTTAGGGACTTGGGGGCACATGTGCACACACATCTGGCGTGTTTTTCAGACTACTAGGGCTGGGATTTGAACTGCAGTTAGCCATGTGGGATCTGGCTCTTTTCACCACTAAGCTACTAGGTCAGAGACAGGTTATGTTTATTTCCACACAAAACGTGGAATGTCAAATCATATTTAATAAACTGATTTGTGAGATAAGATCACTTTTTTTTTTTTTTTAAAGAGAGGTTTTTGCTATAGGGTGCATGCCTCGCTGGGAAGACAGAGAGAGACAGAGACAGAAAGCAAGAAATCACCCCTCACAGGGGATGGCCACACCACAATCCCTCCTCCTCCATTCTCCTTTCGGGATCTTGGGCACATATGCGCACTCACCCGGCGTGAGTTTAAGCTGCCGGGTCTGGGACTCGAGCCACGGTCAACTACGTGGAAGTCCAGCAACGTAACCATTACACCATCTGCTCATCCCGAGATGACTTCTGACATACTGTATACTAAAACAGTTTCCTTATCTGAAAAGTGAGGTCACTGTTACCTACCTCACAGAGCTGGTAGAAGGATTAAATGAGATGCAGTGCAAGTGTTTAGCAGGCTAGTCTGATATAGATGTCAGTTTTCTTCTCACCCATCCTGACTGCCTGTTGGTTCATACTTGCACTTCCTTCATTATAATTTCCATTCCAGAGATATCTTGTCAAGCAAGCACCGCCTGGCTGAATTGCTTCCCCTGCCCCCATCATTTAAAATTTTCTCCCAGTGTAGAAGGGAGGAAGGAGCTTATAGATAGTGGGTATCTGGAGAAACGCTGGGAGAGGAAAGTTGAGAATGGCAAAGATAAAACCACATCCTCCAAAGTTCTTCACTGAGCTGGATCTCGCTGTCTGTGCTCTCTTGTCTAAACTAACTCCTCTGCTTCAAGGATCAGGAGAGTGCCTTATACATTGAGGGAAACCAGGATGCTAGGCTTGAATGAAAACTGGACTTGGGGTGTGGGCAAGACTTTTGGTAACAATTGCTGCCATTTATCAAGTAAGGCACTTGATGTTTTGTGTCGTCTTAACTACCTGTGAACCTCACTGGTTAAAACCAGAGCACAGGGGAATCCTTCTAGGCTGTTTTCTGCTAGACTCCCAGTAGCTGAACCAGACACAAACCCGTTCCCTCCCATGCCCCCTCGGCCTTCCTCTATGAGAGTTCGATATTACAACCATCAAGAACCATGCCGCTCCTTTCACGTGGGTGATGGCAACGTAACCGTTACGTTGATGAATGAACACAAATGTGGCACTGGCGTCTCATCAAGGCCTGTGAAACATCTGCCGCTTTGCTCTTACTTTTCGCCATTGGTGGCTGCCTTAAAGCCAGGTGCTTCTCAGTGATTATCACGTGGGCCCAGGCCTCACACCGAAGATATCGCCTGGCGGGTGAGAGGCAGACCCGATGGAGCCGAGAGGATTGGGGCTGCCACCTAGAGGTCGCAAGGGGTACTCACCCGCGGAGTGAGCGGGACAGAGGTGCCAGGGATCACAGCCAGACTTTCCCTGCTACTTCCAGTAGATGAGTTTGAGGAGGTACCCGGAATCTTTGACCTTACGTGGAAGGCCGTCCTGGCCAGCCCGAGGGCCAGAGCCCAGGCCCTCCACCTCCCGTTCACAGCTTTGCCTCAAGAGGGGTGGAAGGGTGGTGGTGGTGGTACAAGGTGACGCTGCCTGGGATTTGACAAATCCAATCTTCTCTAGTTTCACCACTAGATTTCTAGAGTCAGACTTCTTTATTTAATGGCATCCATGTGTGTCAGAGTGTAGGGACGTGGTCCTCGAATTGCGTTCCCTGGACCCGCAGCATCAGTTTCACCATTTCTGGGACCTGGTTAGAAATGCACTGTCTCAGGTTCCACCCAGACTTCTTAACTCCGAGACCCAGGGAGTGGGGTTCAGGGTTCGGGGTAGGGCACCTGTGCTTCATTACTCTTGTGGGTGACAGCCCCTGCCCCGGACTCTCCCTCTTCGTGGATAGCCACGCACGTACCTGGCTTTTCCCCAGATCTCCGGGCTGCGGGCTCCGCGATCACGTGGAATCATGAGCTAACCCCCACCCCAGCCCCTTCCTGGTCTTTAAAAGGAAGAACAGACTCCTCGTTAAGCCGTCCGAGACCTTTGCAGTCTCTCCAGCTGCCAACCCTTCCGACCACCACTCCCGCGCTCCGAGGCCGCTGGAAGCGCGGAGGCGGAGAGAACTGCCTCTCTGAACTTGCAGGGCGGAGAGGAGGTGGCGAGAGCTGGCACGCCGAGGGCTGGCATCGCGCCGCGGCTGGCATCGCGCCGCGGGCAGGGGCTGGCGTTCCAGGCCAGCGAGGGCGCCGCGAGCCGGTGAACCTGACTGCTCCGGGAGCAGCACGTGCCCTCGCTTGGAGAATGCACGACCCGTGCGGTTACCTTCGCTTCAGGAATGGCTTAAAGGTATGATTTTCTGTTTGAAATCTCGTGGAGAAACCAGGAGTATTGAGAACAATAAATGTCTCCCTACTTCTAAGGGGGAAAAAAAAAAGTCGAACCATCTTGAAAACTCTTGGAAACAAATTCTGTGCCTTGGTTAAACTTCTGCTTTCAAAACACTGGCAAGTTAACTTACTTAGTGCCTGTGAGCTCTGGGTGGTTTGTGCTAGTAGAAATATCTTTTTAAAAGAAAACAAAAATGCCTGTGGCTTTCCTCTGTGATTTCCCACTCTGGGTGGAGTGATAACAGGAGTGGAGCACCTCGTTCATGCTTGAGTTTTGCGGGCCTGGCCAGATGTCCACGTCTCAGGCAAAGGACCAGTGTTTTAGCATGTCCGAGTCGCATTCCTTAGCCATATTTGAAAGCGGGTAGCCTTCTTTCCTGGGTGGACCGAGCTAGATTAAATCTGGTCTCTTTGTTGATGAGTCTGACTTGTTGCGCTCCTTACTTGTGTGTAACTCATACGTGCAGAGCCCAGTTTATTGGAAGGATAACAGTGAGTCAAGTAATAATACTTTTGTGAAAAATTAAACTTCGGATTTGAGTAGATTTCTTTATAGAAATGAGTCTGACTCAATTTTACCTGATTTTCTTTATGCTTTGATGTGGTACATGCTTTGGGGTGGTGCATATGTTGGAAGAAAGATTTTTGCTTGCCTTTGTTATATTTCTCCTATTTCCATGGACATTTCATTAGAAATTTCTACTTTTAAGTTTTTGTATTTATAGTGGCTATTTTCCTTTGTGTATGGGGAAACATTTCTTATTTAAAAAGTGAACAAGTGAAAAAGTAAACCTAGTGTGACTAGGAAAAGAACATGATATACTTTAATTTCTATGTTTTCTGAAAAAAAAAAAAAGTCTGCATGTTTCTACATTCTAGAAGTGGCAAAATGTAAGGATCTGTTCACTAGCAGGTGTCAAAGCATTAAGATTCCATTTTATATTCAAGCATTTTTAGATGATTTTCTGCACTTCGTTTCGGCCAAAAGGCCAAGAAGCAATAGATAAATTTCTGAAACATTATTTCAAAAGTAGTCTCTTGTGACATTTGAGTATTTCTCAAGATATATAAGTCTCTGAAATTAAAAACATTTTCGTGACACATTTTTAGTGATTCTGAAGGACTTGAATGAATCTGCATACCTTTTAGATTTCTCAAAATTTGTAATACAGAAAAGATAGAATTTAGTAATACACTCAACCTAGTAATTTAAAAATAAATATTGATATCTATTTTTAAGAATAAGACAGTGCAATTTTCTCTCATGATTCAAAATACATCTTATAATTTTAGTTGCTGTTTCGGGTCATTTTATAGAATACATATATAAGAAAATAATTATATAAGATACTGAAGCCCAAACCTTAACAATTGACTAGCAAGTTTCAATAATAACATCCAGAACACTTGAGAACTGTGTACTCAATGTTGGACCTCAATTTAGTGGCTAGCTCATTGTATTAGACATAAGTAAGGAAAACATTGCAGTATAATTTAGATCCAGTACCATTTAGCCTCTTTGGTTGTGCCGCTCCCTGAATTCTGACAGATGTACATAGAGAGATAACCCCACCACCATCAAGACATAGAGCAGTCTCATGACCCCCCAGTCTCCTTTGACCTCCTCGTAGTCATCCTCTCTATCTGCCCATCCCCGATCTGTCTACTGACGTTATGTTTTGCTCTTTACTATTTTTTAAACCATGGCAATTGCTTTTCTTTGCTTTTTTTCCAAAGAACAACCTCTGCTCTCCTTTTTTTTTTAAATTTTTATTTATTAAGAGTTGCGTTGAGATGTTTTTGTTTTAATTCTGTGTATTTTGGGATGAATCGAGGCACAGAGCTACATGCAAATGGGAAACTAGAGACTGGGACTGTGTTAAATCCATATTTGGTGAATGAATATAGTTCTTAGCAAATTTGGATTCCATTGTGGTTTAATTCTTTGATTATGGTTTGCATCATTAGTTATCCTGAACTGAAATATACAAGAGTCTTTAAAATTATTGACGTAATATTAAGAATATATTGTTCTTTATAATCTTAGCATTTAAAAGTTACTTCCTACTTGGAATTAAGAAAGTTACCCGAATTACATATTATCAAATAGTGAGGTGCAAATGAGGAATTGAAAATGACAAGTCGAAGACATTTATAATATAGAGTGATTGTGATAGTTAAAGTTTAAATTTTTACCTTCAGAGGGGCTAAGGTTTGTGCTCAACTCATTCGTAGATGCCAAATATTTTTCATATCTGTGCTTGTGGTTTGAAATCTAGGTTTTCCTGAATGTTATAGATGCAAAAACCTTTTGTAAACTAATATCTATTTTTCCTGTTTAATACATTATTTAATTCAGTAAACAGGAGCCTGTTATTGGTTGGCACCATTAATAAAGATATATGAGATTGATGTTTTATTCCTTTTTTGTCCTGTGCTATGAAAAACAAGAGCTTGTATTTTAATACACAACTCACCTTGTAGAGAACTACGTGGTAGTAACCAGGATATGAGTGGCAAATGTATGAGGAACCAACAAACTGGATAGTTGACGTTCCTAGCTGAACTGTTACAGGTCTTGAAAACTGAGGGTGTTCAG